GTTTGGCAACAGATTCGTATTTATGCTGGTTTCAGTGTCCTGGGGTGACCTTTTGACAAAAAAAATTTTTTTTAATCAAGCCCCCACCCCTGGTCAAGGGTGTCCCTCTTTTCCAATCTGAAAATCTGGTCACCTTATACTAGATATAAACCCAAAATTCATTGGATGCATTTCTTCCCCTCATGGAGATAAATTAGATGCTTGATTTGTGTTGTTTGGATTTATTCTGAAAGTTTCCATCACAGCAGTCATGAAGTAAGTTGATGATATACATAGGGATTATTCATGTAAATCACAGTTTCCCAACCTTGGCAATTTTAAGACATGTGGACTTCTTCTGGTAGTTGAAGTCCACACGTCTTGAAGTTGCCATGGATGGGAAACCCTGAGGTAAATAATGAGGATTCCATTGGTTTGGGAAGGCTCTGCTGTAGCAGAATCCTAAACACATTATTTGTTTAGCCTCTGCTATTTCCGGGGTGGTGATGGTATTTGGTAGTTAAAAACAAAATGTCATTTTTCAGTTTCTCGGCTCTCAACATTTTAGAGAATAGAAGATAAGAATAGTGAGATGCATAAATGGCATATATGGACAATTATAAGAGCCTTCATAGATATATTACTATCTCATTATTACTGAGCTCTGGATTATTGACCTCTGGATTTTAAATCATGAGGATGGGGAGATCAGAAATTGTGAAACAACTTTGATGGGAAAGCAAAGAACCACATTTTTTAAAATAGATGGGAACTATGCGAATAGAAGAAATGTTGATGTTCATTGCCTTGCATTATATACAGAAACATTTCCATTTATATCTAAGGCCGAGAATTTAACAATGCACAGGCAATCAACCTATTCAGGGATAGTTCTGTCCCTCTGCTAACTTTTAATTGATTTTTCTGAGCTCAGTTAGGACAGACTCCCTCCTTTCCAAAATTAACTTTCTTCTAAGTATTTATTGCTCTAATACTATTGAAATCATGTACAGTGTTTCATTTAAAATGCAAATAAAATTAAGCAAAATGGGATATCTTTTGAAAAAAATAAAAAAGAAACTCACTAGATGGAATATTTCTTGATAGGAACTGATTTGACAAGTTGTTTTCTGCTTCTTCTATATAGTTCAAAGCAATCTTCCACAGTAAAACATCTAAAATGTTCTTTTAAAAAAAATATATCTAGAAACTTCATAAACAGATGGTTGGTTGATTCCTAATTCTTATTAAATTAAACATAATTATGAAGATTAAATTATGTTCTGGTATGTCCATTGAGAGTACCCTACAGCCAAAGAAGTGGAATCTGAGTAGTTCTAATGCCAATAGCAATAGCAATAGCACTTAGACTTATATATCACTTTATAGCTCTGTCTAAGAGGTTTACAGAGTAAGCATATTGCCCCCAACAATTTGAGTCCTCATTTTACCCACCTCGGAAAGATGGGAGGCTGAGTCAACCTTGAGTCTGGTGAGATTTGACCTGCCAAATTGCAGGCAGCTGGCAGTCAGCAGAAGTAGCTTGCAGTACTGTACTCTAACCACTGTGCCACCATGGCACATAGGTGGACAATGGCCATGTGGCCAAGGTGGCCAAGGTTCTCTTTGGATCACACCATTGATTTTGAAGTGCTATTATTTTGCAGTACATCCATTGGAATAAAAATTACTAGTTCTGGAAACATGATGAAAGAGGTGATAACTCACATCCCACCTGTTTCATGATATTAGAAGTCAAGTTGGAGAAGCTTCGAGCCATTTGTTTTAACTTCCTGTTCAAATCAGGAAATTCAGAAAAAGAAATCCTTATCAAAAGGATGTCCAGCCAATATTTCAAGACATCCAGCAAAAGTCCTGCAGCTTTCTAGATAACTATGCATGATTAATATAGAAGACACTACCCAAGAATGGCAAGAATGCTGATAATATAATTGTGTGTTTATTTGTTTAAACCACTTCATTTAATGCATAGAAGAAAGGTCCAGCAGTGGTCCTTGATCATGTTAGCGAAGAGATAGTCTTGCTATTAATAGTGAAAAATGGCAGAGGGCAACAGATCAAAAGCTAGTATTTCAGATTACTTTTCAGTGTGCCTTACATAGATATTCCATGAAGTCAGTGTAACATTTGCCCTGAAATTTAGCAGGATACGTCTTATCACCAGCTTGCTCTTTTGCCAAATATTTCTTAAATACACAGCACAAAAATAACTTGAATAGAGCCTGTTTCGAATCAACCTTTTATGAACTATTCAAACTAATTACTGCCAGAAGATGTAACTCAGTCCTGTTTCCTTTTCCCATTTGTTTCTCCAGTGCATTCACTTTAACTGCAGATGGAAACAGATATATAAGCTGCCTGTTGGGCTATTGGTCCAATGTGGCTGGGTTGTTTTTTTTTTAATCATTTGGGCCAATGTCTGCCCAAAAGGCACATTCTTGACTCTAACATTATGCTAATCCAAGACCAATTTGCTGCTAATGAGAAAGGACAAGATGGTGGCTTCTTTAATCTATACTGACAAATCAGGACATTGTTTTTCTTCCATATTGACACTGAGGATACATCTAATGACAACAGGAGGACATAGTGGCAAGAGGGGAGACTGAGAAGAGACAATACTCCTGAGCACTCTTCGGTCTGTTGACGTTCTGTCCCAGTTAAACGAAGATGCTGTGTTATTAATAAGCCTGGGCCTGCTTAAATGTTATTTATTTGTCAGATTTTATTTATTAATGCTGCTGAGAAGGAAATTTAGAAAATAGCTACTTTTAGACATGAGATTTAAACAAACCACTGTGAGAGTTTCATACAATAGCCCGAAGGGAACTAATGTTGTAGTTTAAGGTCGGTGAGTTTATAATGGCTTACCTCCTGCTCTCTCTCTCACAAATGCAATATAATTTGGCTGTTTTACTGCTTAGGAACTTTCTTTAAATATCAAGCTACATATACAATTAGCTATATCACCCAATTATTCCAAGACAAAATTTCAGAAATTGCTAGAGGAAAATGCACTAGCAAACACAGTTTAAACAAAAGAGTTTTTAAAATGGGGGGGGGGAGGGCAGAGCCACACAGAATAAATGTACAACGAAGAAAAGTGCATTTCAAATAGGTTTCTTTGGCAAGATTATGTAATACTCTGTGCGCAGAGGGTGCTTTGAGTGCATTCTGTATAAAATCCAACATCTTCTAAATCATTACATAACATACATGTGCTAAAATTACATTAGACCTGAGTCCCAGGTGGTGGACATGAATGGAGGGGTTTTTTTTCCAGAGAAAAGCCTGCTTGCTGATATCCCTAAAATCTCAGAATCAAACAAACAGCTCTCTCAGGGTTTGAAGCTCAAGAAAGGCAAAGTAAATGAGCCTGAACCAGAGGCTGTCTGCCCTGCATCACAAAATTTTCTTTGTGCCACTGATAAAGTTGGATTTGTGATTAAGTCCAAAAAAAGAAGAAGATTGATATAGCCAGTCATTCACTCACATCTGGAGCAAATCATTAGATGAACCAGTGAATAAGGCACATGAATTAGACCAGCCTTTCTCAATTGGCTGCTCACTAGCTAGTGTGGTTTGGGCACTCTTAGAACTCCTTGATCACATTAACCCATAGGCTAATTGGAAATTCTGGGACTTATAGTCCCATTGAGACGACATCAGGTTAATGAAAAATGGGTTAGCCTAACAACCTTCTATTAGAGATTCTAGAAAAAGAGGAGATAAAACCAAAGTTGTGGCAATAAAATGAAAACTAGTTGCCCTTTTCAGTTCTTATGAAGGGTTGAGTTTTTAGTCTTTAGTCTACATCCTCACACATTACGGGAATAGCCCAACATGCCACTTGAGGAAAGTTTATTAAAGTCATCATTTTCCGACCCAACCAACATATGCAAAAAAATCGTAGCATTTAGAGGTGAGTCAAATTTCCCATTTTTTTCTAGAAACTGTCCTTTTGGGTGTTCTGCCTCACATACACTTTAAGAACCCTGACTGAGAGAAGGGCCAGGAAGGTGATCTACATAAGTACAAGTTTATTCCTAAAACGCAGCACTGTCTTGATACAAGCTGGACAAGCAACAAGCTATATAATGTGATTAGGCTTTGCCTTAGCAAGTAGGCTAAAAAGAGAAACTTTCCATCTTTAGCTTGTGAGTTAGTACAGGAACAGTGCGCAAGGCATGGCTGGAAGCAGATATTTTGTTCACATGCATGTGCCTATCAATGTATTTACTGATATGTGACTAGTGGATACTTATATCAACTTACTGTTCATCTGAGTGTCAAAAAAAGGCATGAACCATTAACTTTCAATATACTTTTCCTGTGACAAGGTAGCAAGCACCGAGTACGGGGACAATTTTGAAAGCAATGGGGAAAAATGAAATATGAAAAATAGAAACTTTCAAAAAAAATATATATTTATAATATTTATATATCTATATAGACACAGTCGTTTTCTAATTGGTTAATGGCAGGGTGAGACAGTTGCAGGTGAGGAAGGGGGAGGGGGAAATCATCTTGCTTGAATTTTTCAGAAGGAGACATTTAGAACAAACATAAAGAATAAATCTCACAGTCTCCAGTATCCCATCTGGCTAGGGATGGGGCTTGGAGCCTGGATGATGATGATGCCAAAAACTGATGTTCCCACTCCATCCAAGTACCTGTCTCAACAATTCTCCATTGCAAAACTCATGCTTTATACAACAATATCCAGAAATGAATATCTCTTCGCACACTTTCACACATACGTGCACCGTTACCCCTCACATCATTCAGCAATAAAGTACAAATGCATTCGTGCTCATTTGCTCAGGCAGAGGATGAACAAAGGGGGGTGGATAAGGAACATTGCATAATGACATTGCCCTGGGGCATAAAATTAGAAGGTGCTGCTTTTACAGCATTCAGAAGATGAAACTGACCTCGTGTTTTGACACTTTGCTCAGGATAATCACATTAACAAAATGAAAAATTTATACTGTCACCACTCCCCCGACCTGGTATTTTCCAGATATATTAGGACCAAGAATCCCAGAATTTTAGGGAGGGGGGGGGGAATCCTAGTGCATCTGGAGGTGACAGATTAGTCACACAGATAATATTCTACAGAGTAGGAGAAATTAAGGGAGCTGCAAAAATCAAAGCTAAAAAATAAAAGCAACAGGGCCCAAAACAAAAAAATAAATACTTTGTGTAAATTTCATTTTTTTTAGAAAAAAAAATATTGATTAGCTTACATTATTTTGTCAGTATATTTCATACATACTTACATACATACATACATACATACATACATACATACATACATACATACATACATATTATATAAGAAGGCAATGAAAATGCCAGGGGAATTTAGGTGACTGTATGTCTTGCAAGTTGTCGTACTGATTTTTAATGAATACTGCATGAGTTTGTATGAAGGGTCTCATCAACATGGTCTCCATCCCAAAAATATTTCTGTTCTTCACTATTTGTGCTAGAACAAAATTGATGGAGAGACCAACTTCCATTCATGGTTTCTAGTGGAGGCCACTGAATTGTGTCGGGGGACATCAGTGGTGTTGGAGACCTGCGAAGACTTAGGTCCACCTTGCTATATAGCATTTTGGTCAACAATTGCTTTCCAATGATTTCAATTACATATTGTTGAATTGCACCTGCCATTTCAGTAGCAGTGAACAAAATTTTATAGGTTTTAGGTTATTAATAGAATCTGGGGTAGAATGTTTCATATTATTTCCATGCATGTGGTTTTTGAACCAGTTTGGGTGAGTTGCTATATTGCAAAACAACGGTGGCTTTCTTGAATCTAGCCTAATATTGAAAACTTCACAATAAACCCATAGGCAGAATGGATGATAGAAAAAGCTTCTTGTTATCTATTCAGCACATCTTTAAATCTAAAAATTGCCAATTGCAGAAGTTTGGGAAGATAGTGAGAAATTCTCATTAAATTATGGAAATTCTATGTGATAGATCAATCCACATTATTCATTCTCTCCTTGATAGATACCAAGCATGAACAGTTTACAAATAGTATATATGTGGCCTCCATTAGAAATGGCAAAAATCATTCTAGTAGAAGGATTCAACCATGGTGTTAAATATAAGAAAATACAATTTTTCTGCAACTGCTACATTTTTCTCATTTACTTTGAAAAGGATATGAAGTTGCTTTGCATGAAATGATATGCAACATAAATGAACAGTCTCCCTTTTTATAATAAATGTCAATCTAATGTAACGTTATTAGCAGGTCAGTGCAAAAATCTACTGGTTGATGCCCCCAGAAGCAAAAATAAAGCTTAATAATGCAAAAATAATGAGCTAATTTTGCTACATACTGAATCTCCATATGGCCACTGTCTTTCTGAAACAGCTAGAGCCATTAACAGGGTAAGTCTTTATAATGGTTATTCTTCATGGCTTAAAAAAAAAAGAATTCCCACCCCCTTCCAATTATTGGATTATTCATCTTGCCTTTGCTCTATTTCCATGCAACTTCCAAAACAACGTGTATGTCTCCCAAAGGATAAGCTTGGTCAGAACTGTTTTTATCCTAAACTCAAAAGGAAGGGCATTCCCCAACTCCTAGTGTTTTAACATTTCCGGGAAAGAGATTCTTCAGACAATTTATTCTGAGTCTCTGACTCTGACAGTATACTAGCATATTTTGCTTTGGCTAGCATGCTCCACAAACTATTATTGAAAAAGAGATTCTCAGCTTTGAAACTCTTTTGTACAGATTGGTAGGTGCACATGCATGTGGGGATGAGTGTGACTACTGGTTAAAATAAATACTTTCTGCTTGCACTGCAATTCTCGTACTGCTAACTGTTGTTTGTAAGTTTATTTCCCAGGTTACAGAGGGCTGTGACCTCTGGGGAATGAGATACATGTTCTGAATCGCCATCAGAGGCAAGAAGCCTCAAGAGTAAAGCCTCATGTTAAATACTAAAATATGTGCATATCACAGACAGACCACATGCATGTGCACACACACTCATACAGACATATTTCATACTTTCAGCAGTAGTTGAACTGGGAGCATTTGCTTTTTAAAATGATTTTAGCATCTCTCTGGATATTATTTCCTGAAGCTCATATAGTCATGGATATTGGAGTCGGTTTCATTTTTGCCTTATTTTCTAAACAAGCAACTACTAGATAGGCCTATCCCACAAAGTTACTAAGATTCATACTTTGGCCTGTGGGACTGAATTCTCTGATTTTTGTGCTGATCCAAAAGCCAAAATTATTTCCATCTCTTGATCTTGGCAGGGAAAGACAATGGTGTCAGTTCCTTGGTCTCTGCTACATACATGTGTTTGGTTGGTTTCAGCCTTCCAACAATTCAGATCACTTTTATATATATATATATAAACCTTCCCCTTCCCACCCCATCAGTTCACATCACTCCTTCACGATGCACTTCCTCACACTACTTCTCGGAACAACTCCAAGTCCTTTGTCAAAATTCAAGGGCAAGAAGCCCCCTGCAAAGGGGAAGCCACAGTTCATCTCTTGTGAGAGGAGCCAAGCATAACTCTGGAAACAAAATTGACAATGGCAGCCGCTGGCTGATCTGGGTCCAGCTCAGCAAAGAGGTGGCAAACGTTGTCCGTTGTACTGCCTTGTTTCCTAGCCACGAAGCCAAAGAGTCTGCAAGATGACAAAGAAATTAAGGAGTGATAAAATCATGCCAGAGAAGACAGGAATTGCCCACTGCTCCCTGTGATCACTACCCTACTTTATCAAGTAAAACTCTTGATATTCCTTCTACCATGCCACTTGAAATGCACAGGGACTCAAGAGAAATAACTGCTAATTAATACGTGCTTTATATTGCTATTATTCTAATTAAAATTTCCCACTGTAAATATTATGTGTATTATATATTTTTGTTAAGTGAACAATAAATGAAATCCAAGCAATCCTGAGAATTCACAGGAAACAGAGAATTCAACCAGAAGGGTTTTCTTTAGAATATTCATACAGAATTAATTAACTCTGAGCTATCTACCCGAAGTTATAAATTTCCTTCACATTATGATAGGCAGCTAATTCCACTATGTGGTTATATAGCAAATAGCACTTAGGCTTTACAGCCCTCTCTAAGCAGTTTACAGAGTCAGCATATGGCCCCCAACAATCTTGAGTCCTCATTTTATCCACCTCAGAAAGGCGGAAGGCAGAGTCAACCTTGAGCCTGGTGAAAATAGAACTGCCCAATTGCAGGCTACTGGCAATCAGTAAAAGTAGACTGCAGTACTGCACTCTAACCACTGCACCACCTCAGCTTATAAAATATGAATATGTTATCAAGAACAATTGAAGATGGCTTAACAGGATGGTTTATGGGCCACAGAAGAAAAGTATGTCCTAACTGTATAAGCAGTTTTGCTAAGAAAGAGACCTCCCTTTAGTCAAGAATTTCTGAGAAAATCAACAGCAACTAGAGGTCACCAACTTTGTACTGTGATCCTTAGGTCCAACGGGAAAATAAATCGAATGAAACTTAAAAACTAAGCAGTTTGATTTTTCATGACCACAGGCTTCTGAGAGGTCAGAGTTAGGAAGGCATATTTGGATTGTAAAGATAACAATTCAGGCCAAAATTACTTAATTTAGCTCTACATTCTTTCTTAGGCTAGGTCAATGTCTTTGAAAGCATCTCTTAAAGTTTTGGTAGATTTAAGGACTACGAGAACAATCCCCTGTCCTATGGTATGTGTGTGTGTGTGTGTGTGTGTGTGTGTGTGTGTGTGTGTGTGTGTAAAATATTTCCTAATTTTGACATTAATCAAAGTAACAACTTACTTGGCAGCACCACCAGATTCTGATTTAGTCCACCTGAGGAGAAACAAACAAAAAACCCTATTTAACTTTTACACTGAGGAAAATTTAATACTTTTTTTAAAATGGCGAGTTAAATACAGGTTGTAGCTAAGAGATTAGGAAGCTCTGAATGGAATTCCACTGATTCATTGACAATAGAGCCTTTCTTCTGTAAATAAATGCCTACAACAACTAGGAAAGGGAACAGAATCCTTCTATAATTCCCTATAGTTTGAAAATCTTGTTCCTTAACTATTCTGAGAAATTATCTGTTGCTTTAAAAAGTATCATGATCTGACTTTTAGAAATATTCTGAAATTCAACCCTGAAATTTCACTACAGTGCTTAGTGACAATTAAAAAATAAATGAACAATCGTGTATTTTTTTTCACATTTGCAACTTCACTGACCTATCATGAGTAAAAGTCAGCATTTTAAGTGCATTTGATCTCAAACTGAGTTTTCATTATTTTGCAAAGAAACAGATGAACAATTCTCTGTTCTTCATTGGCAATTTAGTTCTCTGCAGAACAAGTTGTGGGAGACATCTGTAAATCTCCACTGCTGTTGATAATTTCCTGCATATTTGCTTCAACATGGAACAATCTCATTTCTTGGAAATCAAAGAGATCTGGCAGTAGCAACATAGGGGAACAGATGTTTAATTACAGAGGTTTGTGCTCAAACACAGAAACAAAGAGTCCGCAAGAATGATTAGTTCCTTTCAAGACCAGAAATGAAAATAGGATTCTAAGAACCCTGGGCAATTTCCCATTTTCCCCCATTATGTGTTCTTATCTTTCCATTCCAGCCAATGGTTTTTATTCATTCTTATATGTCTTGTCATTTCCATCTCTCAATATGTTCAGGTAGAAACTGCTGCTCATAGTGAGGACTTGATATGTACAGAAGGTCTGGTATTAGTATAAATTAGATAATTTTAAATACATATTAACCCAATAAAGGAAAATATTTTCAGCTCAGAGTTGAAATGAGGGGTCCTTGGTCCTCTCAGAAGTTGCTTGTTTTCTTGCAGACCTTTTATTACCTAAACTAGATGACACCAGCATTAATGATGTTACCTAGTTCAGGTAATGAAATGTCTGCAAGAAAACCAGCAAACTCAGAGAGCACCAAGTACTCCACATATTAACCCCATGAATGAAGATGTTTCTTCAATGAATTAGAGGCATTCTTCCCAATCCAGAAGTGGCAGGGTCTTTTTAGAGGTGGCTTTTTGATTGTAAAATATCTTAAAGAGATTTTAATTGGTTCCATCTCCACTAGCTTTTAAATACCGTATTTTTCGGAGTATAAGATGGACCAAGGTTTTGAAGAGGCAAATAAATAAATAAAAAGGTTTTTGAACTCTGCAAACATCCCCCAAACGAAAATGGGCCCGTTTCTTTTCCAAAAAAGGGCCCTGAATAGCCCTTAGGAGGCTTGCACAGTGCTCCTGGGGGAATTGGGGGGGGGGGGAAACGAGCAAAAAACAGCTCATTTTTTGTGAAAATGGGCCTGTTTACCGTCAAAAAAAAGTGGCGTGGACAGTGTTTAGGAAGCTTATAGAGTGTTCCTGGGGGATGGGGGATGGTCAAAATTGAGCAAAAATCAGGCCAGCTTTTGCTCATTTCTGCCCTCCCCTGCCCCCAGGAGCTCTCTGAAAGCTTCCTACAAGCTATGCATGGCCATTCTGGTGAAGGGGGTGGGGTTTCAGGAGGCAAAAAATGCTGTGTTCAGTCCATAAGACACACCCAGATTTTCAGCCTCTTTTTTGAGGGAAAAAGGTGCGTCTTATACTCCAAAACATACGGTACACCAAAACACTTTCTTTTTCATTCATGATGAATTTTACTTCCTCTTTTAATGTTGCTGTTTCAAGTGTTAAACTCTGATTAAAACTCTTTAAAGATAAGACATAGAGAATAAAAATAGGAGGACCATGCCCATATCTACATACATACTGATTCCAGGAGTATTATTGCTTGAGTTTACATAAGAATTTAGCAAACAGCTTCACTTACTTTCTGTCCTGTGGGTCCACATCACAAAAGGTGACAGTAACGATAGGGTAATGTCGTCTGAAGAACAGCCTGAAACAGAAATGGGAGTAAGCATTAATTCTACAGCCATTTGAAGTGGAAGGAAAGTGAATCTGTGCACACAGATAACTAAACCACCCCAAGGCAGCTCATCTACATGAGCAAGAGAAAGTTCTGATAAGATGGCAGGAAGTCACAGTACTGTACGGCCTGGATGGGCTCCAGATTTTTAACATCCAAAGCTGATGAAATCCTCCTGGTAGAGATTTGATTTGTTCAAAATGTCCTGACCTTTTTTGATACCTTGCACATATTATTATTTCACTCAATGTGGCCATAAAGAACTCTGCAACATGATGCTAATAAATATTGTAGTGAAATGAAGAATGTGTTGAGGAACTTGTCATTAAGAAGATACTAGTTTTGGATGCACTCAGGCTTCTCAAAACCCCGACCCTCCATCCTGTTCCCTTACTTCCTCTGGTTGTCTGTCAAGGTGATGCCTTGTGTGGAGACTTTGAAGTGGACAATAGTAGCAGAGGGAGGGATATCCGCAGCCAGTGTCTCAGTGATTGCTTTGGCGATGGCCTGAGGGCCTGTTAATGATTCCATTTCCACTGAGTTTATAAACAGCACATTGCAGGCTGTGGGAGAAAAGAGGGAAATTGAGGCCAACATTTTTGGTATGGTAGAATGAAGAATAAGTACAAATATATATATATATATATATATAT